CTGACCGGGAATCAAACCATGATCTTCTGGCTCATGGGTCGACGTTCAACCACCGAGCCACACAGGCTAGGCAGGAAAATCTCATTTTATTTTTATTTTTAAGCTGCAGAAGAAGATGCCTGTGGAAAACTGATCCAAATACACCCTGTAAGGTTGGTTGGTATGAATTAGAGCACTTCAAGCAGCTTAAGAGCTGTGCGGAAGGCCGAAGACAAAGATAAACTTCATACTTTTAAGTGTGCCAGTTTATCCTAGAGCAAATTGATGTTATAACCCTTAATGTTGATACTTCTGCTCTTTTGTTCTAAATCAGAATATAGATGCATTTTGAGATTTTGAGAGATTATAGTGATTTGGTAGCTCATGTATATAAATGGATTGAACAAATTTTGTGCCTGCAATAATTATGCCATATCATATATAATATATATATGTATGGTTAATACATCCTAAGTAGAAAAGATTAATAAATAAAATGACAAGATTTGGTACTAGAACACCAAATAAACTAAGATATTATGTAAACCACATGATTTTAGAGGATATGCTCACATTCTGGTAGCAGCATAAAACAACAAAAATCGACATCATCTCCTTTTCCTTGAAGAAAATAGAACTTCACATTAGCTGAAGTGAAGGTTTGGTATATTGATGGGGCTCTGCTTTGTCATTGTCCTTGGTATGCTCTCTAAAGTGCACAGGAAAACTCTTCTGAATACAGAATGAAGTAGGTTTTAGCAAACTCTTGTAGAATCTACTTATGTTTTCTAATCTCCAGGACAGAACTGAAGAGTAGGAAGGACTTGGCTAAAAGAACACTTGGAGGGAATGAAATAAAAAAGTGAAATCATGGGACTACTAATATACCCTGTCTGCAGCAAATATTTGCTTTGGATGACAAATACTTCTAAATTCTGGCTAGTTGTCTTCTATTTTAGAACAGGATCTTCTTTGAAGCTTTAAACTTTAAATGGAAACTATCTTCAGCTATAATGTGAGCACTGTGACCTTTGTCCAAGGATTCAGTTCAATCTTATAAATCAGAAATTCAAATATCAAATCACCCATGATTTAACCAGTTTGGATATTGGCATTTAGAAACCCATCCTGTCTCATTCTAGAGGTGGATTTTTAGTCATTAGGAGGCATATCCTCAGAAGCCTATCCAGTCTAAGAATATACATATGTTTGCTTTAATTTTTAAAAATAAGAATGGGAGCTTCTTCAACAGGGCTAGTCTATGTTATCTGAGGTAATGAAAGGCCAGCCAAGTCTTTGATATGGGAAAATCCACAAACTTCCTAAATCAGGTTTCCTACAGAGTCTGGCACAGTGGGAAGCTGTTTACCTAAGCAGAATTACTTTATACTTTAATGTGAAAAGTTGTATTAGATGTAGGTAAGGGACAGTTTCATGCTTAGTCATGAGCAGAGAGACTTGGAAACAAATCATACTGTGGGACAAAGTAGGGTCAACCAACGGGGTTGTCATTCAACCAGTCCATAGGTGGGGTGAGGTTTTCATGTCCGTGAGCCCTTTGGACGGGATGAGTGGTTCAGCTGGGGACAAGAACCTTAAACTTAAGGCGTTGGCACTAGCTTTTGAGCTTCATTTAGCATATTCAACAGAGACAGGAAACCGTCCGTAACACCCTATTTTTCCTCAGTGAGTTGAGCAAAGGAGCAAAGCATGTTCTCACCTGAGCCCTTGGTCACCTAAGGAGGGTAGTAGTTTTGTTGTTGTTGTTTTGTTTGTTTGTTTGTTTTGAGAGGGCAAGTAATCAGGCAGGTGCAAATGCTTCCTTTCCAGAAAACAATACAAGATATTACCATACACACAGTCAGGAGACATTAAAAAGTATCCTCTTTGTTTTGATCAGTATTTATAAATTTCTCGAACGGGTAGATAGAAACTTAATCTTGTTAAATGCAGATTCCAACAGCGTTGTACCTGTGAAGTGTCCAGATGTCCACCTGAATTTAATCCTCAAGGTCTTTATCTATCCATACCAGCATCCACTGGGATGCCACATACTTAAAAGTGCCAATTGTTGCCAAATCTTCCCTTGTTCTTGACATTAAGGTCTCTTAACGACCAGCTTTCTCTCAGCCACTCCTGTGGCTCCTTGCGGAGGCAAACCCTATGAGGATGTCTCGGACTGTCGGCCTAAACATAGCACTCGGCCGTTTTTATTCTGTGATCCTGCCACTGTCTGGGAAGGGGGGCATTAATTCTGTTGTTCTCACATTCCTCAAGCTGATTTGGGGCTCTGTTCTCCACTTTCCATACCTCGGCTCAATTTTTGAGTGAATAGGGGTCACAGTGTATGGGGTTCCTTCTTAGGAGCTATAACAGGCATCGATTATTTTAACTTCAAATAACAGAAATCCTAACCAACAGAGGCTAAAACAACTATCTCACCCAACAAGAGATCTGGAGATGCAGGCCGGGACTGGCATAGCAGCTTAACTATACAACCAAAACTTCATCTTCCCGCCATACTTTTACTTTGTTACCCTTAGACATGGGCTTTTGTCATTGTGTTTGTCATCATTGTGCTTGTCAAGATCACAAGATGACTGTTACATCTGCAGGTGTCACATCCACGGTCAAGATGGGAAAAGGGGTAGCACCAACTATGTTCCACTCTATCACAAAAGCAAAAGCGCCCGGCCGGGCGGGGCTCAGCGGTTGAGCATCGACCTAGGATCCAGGAGATGGCGGTTCAATTCCCGCTCAGGGCACATGCCCGGGTTGCAGGCTCCATTCCCAGTCGGGGGCATGCAGGAGGCAGCCGATCAGTGACAACTCTCATCATTGATGTTTCTCTCTCTCTCTCCCTCTCCCCTCCTCTCTCTGAAGTCAATAAAGATATATTTAAAAAAAAAGAAAAGAAAAGCAAAAGCTTTCCCAGCAGCACCTCCCTCCCCAAATTTTCCTTACACTACATTGTTTGGAACTATGTCATACATGCCCAGAGCTATAAATGAGACTAGAAAAGTGAGATTATGAATTTCTAGCCTCTATAGTTGAAGCTGGCAAGGAAACGGGGTTGAGAATGTTATTGTGTTATTCAACTACCAATATCAGGCATAAGAACCCATGTATGTCTAAGTTCTTACTTTTCTTCTATCTACAGCCTCCACAATCCTAGAAAATTTAAAATAGTCTTTCTAGAACAAATATTTAGTTGGCTTACTCAATACCCATTTCCAATCACTTTCTCCATTGCTTTCCTCTACTCTATAGGTTAGAGATATCTAAATGCTTGATTTCTCAGCTCCTCTTGTGTCTAAGGGTAGTCATGTGACCTGGTTCTAGTCAATCTGATGCGTATGTGGCTTCCCTTCCTAAATAAAAAAGGCAAAGACTCACTAGGAAAAGTTTTTTTATCTTTGTCATTCCTATCTTCCTGCATGAAACATAGTCTTGATTCCTAAAGGTGCAGCCACCATATTGTGACTGTGAGGGGACAAAAATAAGGACACTAAGATGATGAAACAAAAAGAATGAATTTGGGACGTAATAACATAGTGGGTCTACTGCATCAGACCTGTAGAGTCTACCTGTGAGCTTTTCATACAAGACTAATATATCCCTACTTGTTTAAGACAGTGGTTGAGTTTCCTGCTACTTGTAGCCAAATGTAATTCTTACATAGGCAGGAAACAATTATATCATCATGTAGCTCTTCCAAATCTATTGTTTTGCCAGAGCTGTCCCATTCTCTTAAAAGTTCCCAACTTTCAAAATTCAAAAGCAAAGAGGTAATCTCTTTTCTCTAACATTTTGCTGTGTCATAAAATGATACCAAATGCGAAAGGCTATATGAGGTACAAGGAATTATAAGGGGGGAAATCCTTGCTAAATATTACAAACTATGTCTCACCATAGTTACAAGTACACAGAAACCAACCAAAATTAAGCCAAGGCAGAAACATCACAAAATAATAAGAAAGTGATATAAAACAATAAGCTAAATGTGTCAAACCTAGTGAAAGCTAAAGAAAGCTGAATGAAGCAGTAAGTTTGTAAGATTAGAGTAGAACAAGCAAGAAACTGATTTTTTCCCAGAGCTTACTAAATTGAATGCACTTTGCTGGTAATATCTCATTTGATCCTCACAATAATTCTCTGAGGTGGATATGTTATGCCTGTATTAAAGATAAGAAAATTAAAGATCAGATTAGAACAAAATAAACTGAATGATTATACAATAAACTCTACAGATAGGAGTTAAAATCAACCTTAGAAAATATTACAGAGATATGGGAAGGTAAACCACCCTACACCCTAAATGATCCTCTTTCTGGGTCTGGTTCCTTTATCGGTTTTCCATCTTTCCTTCCTAAAGCTATTTCCGTCACTCTCTCATCCACTTTGGATGTGGAGATACTGCCTCCCACCAAGATAAATTCCACCTCCTTCCCCAAGCTTTCACTCGCGTAAGTTCTTTCTTGAGCAAATCTTGCTTCATTAGATCTGCTTTCTGATTTAGTTAAACTTTTTCGAGCCTAGCGAAGCACCCCATCTTCTCTTTCAGGTAACTGTCAGCAACGCAGCAGCAAATATCAACACGAAGCAGATTATTATTGTAGATCACGCGGGGGAGGGGGTAAAGTATTTAACTGTAGCACTGTTTAAGTGACTATTCTGCGAAGTGCGAAAACTTGAAATCATTTTCAAGTTCCACTATTTCAACTTCTTTTCAGTTACGGCAAGTTTCTAAACTTTCTAACTCTCCTTTTTCTTGCTAAAGAAAAGAAAACCGGAATCTCCTATCTACCTACTCCAGGACTTCTGTGAGGATCAAATGAGACGAATTACGTGAAAACCCTCCACAAAGATTGGTTAAACACTGTAAAACGTTTGTGCCTGGCTACGAAGGAGACTATGACGGGTTGGGCTCCTGGGCTGAAGAAATGCAAAGGAGGCTAGTTGCTAAGGAGAGGACGCCGGGCGTTGCTACGTGACGTCATTACCCGGCGCCAGCAGCGGCAGTTTCCGGGCTGGGCTAAGGGGAGCCTTCAGCGCCATGGGGCCGTGGCAGCGTTTGCTGCTTTTGGGTGGGGTGTCGCTTCGGGGTGGTGGCGGGGCCTGTGCCCCCCCTGGGGGAAGCCGAGTGTTGGTTTGTCCGCGCCAGGTCCGTGGTGCAGCAGGGCGGGGGGAGGGCAGGACGGAGACGCC